CCCACCACACGCGGCCCGGGCGCCGAAGTCACGTCTCTCTCAAGTCCCGGAGCCCCGATTTCTGACAGGTCCCAGGAGTCCTAAAGAACAATGTCGCGTCCGCCGAGCAGGAAAGCGCGCGGCGTGAGGCGGCGGGTGACTCCAGGGAGGCGGCTCTGTGTGAGAGTGCAAAGGAGAAGCTCGGTCACCCTCCTCCCTCTTCTCCTCTCCTTCCTCCTCCTCCCTCGCCTCCACCGCCTCCTCCGTCTCCTCCTCCTCCACCTCCCTCAAGCACACCCCGTCTCCTAGGCCGCAGCATAGCAACCGAACATGGCGGCTGCGCAGCCCCCGGCCAGTCAGAGTGCGGGGACGGCAGCCTCAGCAACAGGAGGCGGTCTCGCGAGAGGTGAGGCCACGCCCCTGCTCCTCCTCCTCCGCTCCTCCCACCCGGCTTCGGAGTGGTGCCCGCGCCTGCCTAGGAGCGCAGGCACTCGCAGGTGCGAGAGAGGCGGAGTTTAGCGACAGGGAGGGGAGGGCGTGGCTGCGTGTCCACACCCCGTAGCCAGGCCGGGATTGGTTCCTTGACTGTCAGCCCTGCCCCTCCTCCCTTTTCCCCCGAGTGTACCTAGTGACTCTAAGGAACACAAAAGAAGGGAATAGCGCAAAGTGGGGAAACTGGACCTCTTGGCTTCAGGATGTCCCAATTAAGTGCTAATCGAGGGTACAGGCTTTGAAATGCAGTTTTCAATCGTTTCTCCTTCTAAATAGAGGCTCTCGAAAACAAAGCCTAAGCAAAAGGCGTTCATGGGTGAAACAAAGGATGGGTGCTTTCTGTGTGCCGGGAACGCTGCATTTTAAAATCAAGTTCGGTCATTCATTTTAAGAATGAGAGTTGGTAATTATCGTGCCAGGGCCTTGAGGAGGGTGTACTCTAATGTTTTCTGGGTGATACAAACTTGTTGGTGATAGGGCATTCCTATGGCCTGAGTGACTTCAACTGAAATGAGGAAAGCGTGGGTTTCGGGGTACCCTCGCATTTCCTCCGCCTCTTTTTTCAGTTTTTTACATTTATTTTGTATATACCCAAAATGTGTGTGTGTGTGTGTGTGTGTGTGTGTGTGTGTGTGTAACTCAGAGAACAAGGTTTGAGAGTTAGTAATCCATGTGGGTCCTAGGGATTGAACCCAAGACTTAAGACTTGGCAGCAAATTCCTTCCTTTACCCTATGACCCATCTGGAAGGTCCTTGTCTCTTTTGAGGGTGAGGGCGGGTGTCAATGCCCTTTACTGTGGCCAGGCTTCTTGTTAGTTCTTGATTTTAATCTTTGTACCCCACCAGAGACTGTCTTTATAAAAAATGTTCCCCTGGGTGTGGTGGTGGTGGTGGTGGTGGTGTACACCTTTAATCCCAGCACCCGGGAGGCAGAGGCAGGCTGGTCAAGATCAAGTTGACCAGTTTCAAGTTTCAGGACAACCAAGGCTACACAGTGAAGCCCTGCCTTGAAAAACCAAAATAAAACAATAATAATGATGATGATGTTTCTTCAGGGGGTTAAGGAAAGAGCTCTTGCCTAGTATACGAACAAGGTCCTAGGTTCCATCCCCAGCATCCAAAAGTCACATGCTGCAAAGCTTTTCTCCATGTCGACAAAATGACTTTACCAATCAGGAAAATGTGTGCCAAAGTTCGGGAAAACAGTAATTTCTATCAACTTCTCATTCATACTCTGCTCTTACTTTTTTTTGTCCAGTTGATGATGAGCCATTGGACACTTGGGAGGCTGAGGCAAGAGGATCAGGAGTTCAAGAACATCCTTGGCTACACAGCAAGTCCTAGGCCAGCCTAGGCTATTTAAGAGCCCATCTCAGAGTGTAGGTGGGACAGAGACATATCAGTTCCAGCCTGTGTTCATTCCTTTTTCTCTAAGTAAGTATTCTTTCCTCCGGCTGTCCATTTTGAAATCCTTTGTTCATGGTATTGCTAAAATGCTTCTTATCTCACCTCTGTCAACATCCATTCATTCTTCAACAAAAGATCAAAGAGAATTCACCAGAGTTACACAGTAAGAAATAATTTCTTCCTTCTGTGACACAGATAGCTCTAGGTTTAAACATTCCTTTGGTGTTTTTCACAATACGTAGCCCTGTTGTGGGTATTACTGATAGTCCATGATCAGATCACCACTACTACCCAAGGCAAAATACTCTTAGTCATCTCTGTAGCTCTCAGAATGCCTGAGGACAGTGCCTGGCAGCAAAAATAAAAGTCGATGGAAACAACAAAATGTTTGAATCACTGGTGGATAGGGTTTCAAGAAAATATCTGCAATAGGCCTAGAAAGATAATTCAGTCCGTAAAATGCTTGCTGTGCAAGCTTAAGGACCTGTGTTCAGATACTCCAGAGCACACACATAAAGCCAGGCATGTTAGCCATTCCCAGCTGGACTGCCATCACCACTGACTCCACCTCAAAATTATCACTACTAATTATCACAAAAGAAATCCCAGGCCTGCTGCTCATTCTCTAGTTTCTCCTCCCCCAACCTTTACCAGACTGTAATCTATTCTCTGTCTCTGTGTGTTTGCCTACTTTGGATATGTCACATAGACAGAGGAACTTCCTGAATGGAGCTTCATAGTGGAAGTCACCTAAGTGGACCCTTTGAAGTCACCAATACTTACTATCATTCCTATAGAATTCTAAGTTCATCTTAAACCTACCTTCCTGCATCCCTGAACAAGAAGGAGCAAGTAATTGTTGAAGAGATGGAAAAGAAGAGGAGGAGAACAGAGTTGCTTTACAGGCTTTGTAGCCAGTCAGCAGAATGCTTGCCTTACATTCATGAAACTCTGGGTTTGATCCTCAGCACAGAAAAAAAAAAAAAAAAAAATGGATAAACCATGAAACAAATCCCAGCACCC